TATATCTGTCGATTTGTATATATAAACGATTTATTTCAAAAGTACATTTATTCAGTAATTATTGATGCCGTTCAGGAGAATGCTTTTCTCTGCTTTCAGCATTCGCCGGCAAACAGCACGCAGTAGCAAAGCAATACCTACAGAAAGTAAGAAACGACATTTTAAAGCAGTAGGATTCACGAGAATACGAATCAAGTGGCAGCTACGACTGGATTTTTCTACAGTTCAGTTCTTGTTTTTGAGATGGTAAAGCTTCCTGGTGTGGGGAAAGTCAGAGATTAGCATGTCGTTAAGTCTGTGTAAATAAGCGACTGGGTGTTATCCTGCAGTATCTGTATTGAAAACTGTACATCGTAACTGAATATACGGTTAGTGAACACCGACTACATATTTTATTGTGAAAATGAGTTCTCATAAGAGGAACGGAGCAGGCATTCGAAATGAAGTGTCATCAGAGAGTGCTACATATTGCGTACTCTGCTCCTACAGTTAGATACGATGGTAAATAATCGCCAGAATGATTGAAAACTTCGACGGTAAATAGGAATTGCTGGTAGTAAGTGTCAGGCTTGGAAAACTGCAATCGCTTATTCATTTGACGCAGCCCAATTGTCTCCTCCACTCTCTACCTGACCAGGAAAAAACTCATTCTGTAGCGCACGGTCTAGAAGACGTCCAGAGAAATCGTTAATCAACAATCAACGTGTCAGACTGAATAGACACCACTGCAAATGTATGATAAAGACCGACAGCAACAGAAAATCTGCTCATCGAAGTTAATACATCCCATTCAGCCATTGAAACATGATGAGGATGAAATTTTGGTATGTTACAGTAGCATAAATTTGTCATGATTTATTTTTTGATGCAATGCAGCATTTTTTTAAGTTTCTGTTTTAACGGATGAAAATCGATGAAGAAAGGAACGAGTTAAAAGTCAGGAAAAATATATTTATTAAATGATGCTATCGAAACCCGCGAACACAAGTTAAAGGAGTAGCAGGGATATATTTTGCTTCTTAAGGCAGAACAATCTTCTTCCGCTCTTGTTAATTTCCTAAACGGCTTTGACGATGAAATGAGGATGGATTTCACTGTCGAAGACAAACAAAGTAACCGTTTATTTCTGAACACCATGATTGAAAAAGACTTCATCAGTGATTGTCTTTTATATTTCCGTAAGGAACTAGAGGTGCAATCGCTTCTAACATCCAAGTTTTTTAGACATGATTGACTTATATTGTCATCTTCATGCAGAAAAAAGCGATGCCCTTTTGCAATCGTCTTTCTCCTTGTGTAGCTGAAATCCAAAATTTGTCATACATTCTTAAATATGGTTGTTATTACAACAGTTCTATCCGACAGTCTTTTTCATTCAAGTTACAATTTCCACCTCATATCTCAGCATAACAAAAACTATATATATCCTTGCCTTTTAAATTGCATATGTTTTCATCTTTCCGTCTTCATCTAAGCAAAGTCAGATTCGATATTGTCTATAAAAAAGAATCAGATTGTAGAGGAAATCGTAAGATTTATAAAGGTATGAGTCCAAAAGACATTAAAATCAGTCTGTAGAATATAGAGCTAGTTTCGGGCACGGACTTGAAGACGATTTTGCTATTATTCAGCATGTTTTTCACAACCTCTGCCACACTGATAGCAAGGATGTTAAAAGGACAATCACCGATGAGAACATGCCGGCTTCATGATATATCAACCTGCCGTAATTGAAGCATTTAATGCAGATTATATTAGTGATGAATTTAACTTCAACGATTTTTCACCTTATTTGAATATCATGATCCATAGTTTAGTTTCTACTATATAATCTCCTTTTATTCTTTTCTCTTTTTTATCCCCCTTTTTCTTCAGTCTTTTAATCTATCTTATGCCTCACCTTCTTGTGTCTATTTTCTTTTTATATGCTGTGTTTCTTCGTTAAAATGCTTTAGTTACTTATCTGCCATTTATTATTTATCGTCTGATCTTTGTTATCTGTGAGAGATATTCTTTGATTCATTAATAATAATTAACTGAGAAGGTGCCTCACTATAATTTCCAAAACCCTCACATAATGTATTTTTCCAAACTTCTAAGCTATTTGTCTGATTTATGACGACAGCTTGGTTGGCGGCTCGAAATGTAAATACTGCTCTCGGAGGCATCATGAAGCATCGAAAATAATTAGCCCTGCGCTGAAGAAGAACGGAGTGAAGATCTTCCCGGTCGTTGTAAAATTTTTTCTTTCAAACATTTCCTTGCAGAAACACCGGTGAGAAGCATAGCTGTACAGCTGTACCCGTTTATTACCTCGTGGTTCTGGTTGTAGCGAAGAGTAATTATGAGCCGCCGTTTCAACTGGCTGGGACTTCGCTAGTGCGGCAACTTTACTACTTAACTTTTCTATCCTTAAATGACGATATGTCGGTGGCAATGTTAGATCTTATGCAGAATAGCCGGATCAATTTTGAAGTTCCATGAAGTTGGTAAAGACACATTATTATGTGACATTAAATTGAGTGTAGGTTGTAATGTCTGTTACCGTCGTCACTCACAGCAACTAAACATCATACAACTTTTATGTCTGAATGCTTACAACTGATGAAGGTAGCTTTGCTCGTACTCCACAAGCTCGATTATTAACTTCCAAAATTATATGCGAATATTGTATTTGTTAGTAATTGTTTTATACTTATTTGTAGTACGACAAGTCTGATAGTTATTATGGGACTACTACCTTTAACTGCATTACGTACCTGCTGTATGACGTGCTTTTAGACAGCGACGATTGCAAGGTTGGCGAAGTATTCTGCAGCCTGACCGAACGCATGAAGCTGGTGTACAGCAAATACTGTGAGTTTCAGGACGAATCGTTCGCTTTGCTGGAAAAGGTATTTGCTGATACTTATGCGGTGGTGACAGCGGAGGCTAGAGTTTACTTTCGCGCACTCGACTTTGGTAGTTCAGGTTTCGGCGTTAGACACAAATCAAGGCCTTTGCTTACATCAGTAGTGTTTCTGCTGATGAATAAATTCTCCTCTGCCGTCATCATCATATGCCTCACTCCTGTTCGTCATAACCTCATCATTTATACGATGATTTGCAGTACGAAGGGGATGCCGTAAAACGGACGATTCTCGATCGATGTCTTGCGCGGATTCGCACCGAGACAACTTGCCTTGATCTGAACTCGATGATCAACCGACCGGTGACCAGAATCGTGAAGTATCCGTTGTACATCGACGAGATTCTCAAAGTAAGACTATAAGCGTGTTCGCTTCGTCCAGCTGACCGTCTGCTTTATTTTAACTTACCTTTGCTTCGTAAAATTTGAAAAACTCGTTTAGCCTCATTCTGTGACATTCGTTTGATCTCGTTTATTATTTTCTAAAGTTTACCGATGACGAACACCCGGACAAGAAAAACTTGGTGGCAGCACTTTCTCGACTGACGTTCATCGCCCGATCAATCAACGAGTCGAAACGTCGCACAGATCTTGGTAAAATTTTGTTTTTTTTGATGAGCGGTCGTTTCGTTCTTCACTGGCTGCTTTGCATTTAGTGAAGAAGTATCGTCGCGAAAATGACATTTCGCTTTCACAGCGCCTTTCTCGCCTCTCTCTCCACTCGGTTCGTAAAAAGGGCACCCGAATCAGTGTCAGACTGTCGTCGACGCTCGGCCTTACTCACCTCGTAAGCGACGATGTGTTTAAATGCCTAACTTCCGAATGACTACTACATGACTAAATGTATATATATATATATAGTCTTCAGAGTGCGTCAGATGTCCCTAATTAAAGACCATTTTGTGTTGTCTTCCCGTTCGTGACCTACCT